AAATTCGACAACGTGTAAATTTAAAGTAGTTTATATGAAGTATTTTTGGTTTGTCAAATTCGATTTATCGATAATCAACAATACTTTATTATTATTATTATTATTATTATTATTATTATTATTATTATTATTATTATTTTGTAGCGTAAATACTTACTTATTTTTACATAAAAGCTACATGTATTGTTTTTCAACTTTTAGGTGGTTTGCTGTAGTTGAACATAGACTTCTCACAAAACAATCATAATAAAGTTGAGACACATGATTGGTATGGTGACGTAAAATTTAAATAATGAATTTATAAGGAGTAATTTATTTGATTTAAGTACTTATTTATTGATGATTATTTTTATTTTTATTTTTTAAAGTTGACATTTAAAAGGTAATTGGGATGAATTTCAACTCGAAGTTAAATACAATATTCCTCTCTTATTTGAATTTCAAACTAACGTTGATTTCAACAAATAATAATTCATGCAGTGGAGTTTAATTTTATTTAAATTACTCATTTATCAAATCATGATTTTCAAAGTTATGTTTAAACCAACAAAACTTACATTTTTCATGAAATGCCTTTTTACTTCCTATTTAAGAACAAAATATCTTTAAACTTAACAAAACATCCTCTTAGGAAGGTTACATATGTAGAGAACAAGACACGGAGATGTGGTGTTGGGTCGACTATTTTAGTAGTGGTAAACATCGATTTTATTACCCATGGTCTAGAAGATAAGAAAAGAGGGGAAAAAATGTAGCACGGAGGGATGGTGATTGAGAAAGATCGAGTGAAGTATTCTGAAGACCGTTGAAGTCTACCATTAAAGACTCGTGAAAGACGAATATTATCAGATACCATATAGAAAATACGAGATTGAGAAGAATAATGATTCATTTCATTCGAAGATCTTGCATGTATCTATGCAAATTGAGTCATTTATCTAATTTATCTATAGATATCTATGGACTATGCAAGTATGAATAACTAAGGAAAAATACTATTCATCCTCAGTGGAGATGCATCCTCAATTTATGTGGATGTAAATGATTGGATAAATGATATGTGAAATTAAATGACTTATTTAATTTCACATATCATTTAATGCCACATTAACGCGACATAGACTGATGATGTATCCCCACTGAGGATGAATAGTATTTCTCATAACTATGTGAGAATAAAAAATACACATAATTTAATATTTGATGAGAATCGACCAACGCTAGCAATTCGATTTATAGAGTAAATAAAAATTGATGTGTTATAATCATTTTTGTTCAATGTTGAATACCGAACAATTTTCAATACATGCTTGGAGAGTTGGAGTTGACTAGAAAACAAATATTTTCCAACTTTTTTTTTTTTGCCTTTCTTGATTAAGCACGTTCTAGCTAGTATTTGACCACTTCCATGGAGACCCCGTCTATGGTCCTCACACTACTCTTTAAACCGCGTTTTTCCTCTTGTTTGATTCTTCTTCAAATTTCAAACCCTAACACCCTTAAAATCTGACCCAATTTTTTTATATTTTCAAATCATTGTACTACCAAGAAACAATGATAAGATTTTCTTGTAAATGGCTAATTTCCCTGTAAATACTTTCCCTCTCCTCCTTTTACTTCTTTGTTTTACATCCCTTTTTCCCTTCATTCATTCACTTTCCACTATTGCAATCTCTGAAATTGGTCATCAAACTTTAGTTTGTGCACTAAATGATGAATCAAGAATTGAATGTAAAGGTTTTCCTCAAGGAATTTCAATTCCATTGGAGCCTGATTTTAAATCAGTTTCTGGGATTTCGGGTGGAAATGGATTCCTCTGTGCATTGAATTCATTTTACTCTTCATCAGTCTCAATCATGGGTTGTTGGAGATTTTCAAATATATACACCAACATTACCTACAACTATAAGAGGCTTTATAAAGGTCCTCTGCTGAGAGAACTCGACGCCGGGAATTCCCGTATATGTGGTGTAAGCAATGGATCCAACCATTTTCAGTGCTGGCCGTACCGGTCGGATTTCAATTACACTGCCGACAATTTCGCCTCAAGAATTACTGTGGGAGAGAATTTTGTCTGTGGGTTGTTGGATTTAGGAGAAATCCATTGTTCAGGAAATGATGCTAATGTTATTGATCATGAACCTAAAGGAAACTTTTCTTTGATTGAGGCTGGTTTACACCATGTTTGTGCCATTTCTTTTAATGGGAGTTTGGAGTGTTGGGGAAAAATGGTAGGTGAAAAACCTGGTGGCGAGTTCAAAGCACTAGCATCCGGGGAGAGTCGGAACTGTGCATTGAGGCGTAATGGAACCGTGGTTTGTTGGGGTGAAAATGGATTCAATTTGCCTGCTTCATTGAAGGAGATGGATTTTATTGCTTTGGAAGCAAAAATTAATGTTTTTTGTGGTGTTCGGAATTCAGATTATTCCTTGCTTTGCTGGGGTAATGAGAATTTCCATTCGAATCCTGTGGTTTTCAAAGACGTGGTTCCGGGTTCTTGCATAGCTCGAAATGAGTGTCCTTGTAATCCTTTACCTGGTTATGGCAAGTACTGCAGTGAAGGACTAGTCATATGTGAACCTTGTGTGCCGCCATCTCCGCCCCCATCGCTAGTGGCACCACCGCCACAGAGTTCCTCGAGCAGTGGACAATGGAATAGTAAAATGGTGGCCTTTTTGGTTGTGGGTTGCGTTGGATCATTCTCGTTGTTTTTAAGCTTGTGTATATTGTTCTTCAGATATTGCAAGATTACAGGCAGTCGAATTCATGATTCAGGACGCCTAGAGGAGGGCGGTTCGTCTCAACAGAACAGCCAAACTGCTCAAGCTCGACCATCTCCACCGGTCTTGGAGAAGCGGCTCAGTCATTTAATCAGTGCAGGGAACGGAGGTCACTTGGAGGAATTTTCCTTGCAAGAGTTACTTAAAGCAACTAATAGTTTCTCTGAGGAGAACAAAATTGGAACAGGAAGCTTTGGATCCGTCTACCGTGGTACACTGGACGATGGGCGCGAAGTGGCTGTCAAGAGAGCCGAAGCCTCGTGCTCTTCATCATATGGAGGCTTTGCCAAACATAGCCAAGACGACAAGGGCAATGCATTCTTGAATGAGCTCGAGTTTTTATCACGTCTTAATCACAAGAATCTTGTTAGGCTATTGGGATATTGTGAAGATAGCAACGAGCTCGTATTAATCTATGAGTACATGAACAATGGAACCCTCCATGATCATCTCCACAAGCTTCAAACTTCTCCATTCATGTCATGGTCAACAAGAATTAAGGTAGCACTTGATGCAGCAAGAGGAGTCGAGTACCTCCATGAGTATGCTGTGCCACCAATTATTCACAGGGACATCAAGTCATCAAACATACTACTCGACACCACGTGGACTGCCAAGGTGTCCGATTTTGGGCTATCGTTGATGGGTCCACAAGATGACCAGTCCCACCTGTCATTACGTGCTGCAGGCACGGTTGGGTACATGGATCCCGAGTACTACAGGTTGCAACAATTAACGACTAAGAGTGACGTTTATAGTTTCGGGGTTGTATTGCTTGAATTGCTATCAGGGAACAAGGCAATTCACAAGAATGAAAATGGGGTGCCAAGAAATGTGGTGGATTGTGTAGTTCCATACATAATTCAAGATGAAATTCATAGGGTTTTGGATGGGAGGGTGCCCCCTCCTACACCATTTGAGATTGAAGCAGTGGCATATGTAGGGTACCTTGCTGCAGATTGTGTCATGCTAGAAGGACAAGATCGGCCATCAATGAGTGAAGTTGTAAATAGCTTAGATAGAGCCCTAGAGGCATGCTTGGCACCCCCCGTGTTATCTCGATCCTCCACCGACTCCTCGACGTAATCTCGGAATCCTTGCAATATGTAAAAAGAGCCCTCAGATAGTTCAGTCCAAGAATAACGAGTCTATTAGCAGGAACACACACTACAACTGAAGTAATGAATTATCGTGTAGATTAAATTTATTTCTAATTATTTTAGGTGCAAGATTACAGGCTCAATAAGAACGTGAAAAATTTCCTGAGGAGCCGAAAAACACAATTTTTGAGCTAGCACGCTTTAGATTTTTTTATTTTTTTTCCCCTTACGAATTTGTTAGTTTATTGTGTATAGTGGAAAGGCGTGCCCACTAAATGAGTTAATAAAATGTGCAGCACAGCTTATTCATTCTATATTTTTTCCCCCTAATCTTTGCAATTCAAACACTTCCAATAGTTTTATAGATGAGATTTGGTAATTTTCTTTGTAATTTCTAAGTCAAATCACCAACCACAAAGTTTTTCCTAAACGACTTTGTCAATTTCAATGTTGTCTAAATCAATTTCAACGTGAAATAAAAAACATATGTAGTCAAGGATAACGACACGTGTAACAAAAAATCAATCTTTCACATTAAGATTTCGTCTCGATATTGTTAATTAATGATGTTTTTTTGCTCATTGCAATGATTCTCGAAGTTGATTTATAAGAAAGTGGTGTCAAATTAGTAAACCGGAGCCTGGAAAATAAGCAGGTGCGATGTTTTTAAATCCGACTCTACAACAAATGAGTTCAACTGGAAGAAGAAAAGAACAAATATGATTCGAAGATACATTATGAAAATTTATTCACACAATTCGTATAATCCACAATTTTTATTCACTTTTTATCCTCTCTTTATGTAGGACCCACATTTTTAAAAGTTATAAGATGCCAATAATATTCGTAAATAGTTTAAATCAATCTCTAAACGACAAATTTCTTAAATTTTTCCAAAAGAAAATTTGAGAAATTCGATCAACCAATAACCAATTCATACGGTTCCAAGGAAAATGAAAGCTATTGTCGTGAAGTTTCTAGCCCCAATAAGACACTTGAGTTAGAAATTCCACGAAATTTCTTCGCTTCTTCCTTTAAGTCATCTTTCTTGACTGCATTAGGAGAATTTTCTTCTATTCTAGATATGCATGAAATATCTATATATTTCTAAGCTTTAACTTCAGCCTTATATCCATTTGAGCGATTTATAGACTTGAGCGTCGCCAGAAAGATTTCAACACTACAATATTTGGGATGGTAAGAGTGTATTACAATTGGGAAAGGCTAGTTGAAGCCACTCTAAAGAGAAAGCAGCTTCGGGGAAATTGCTCGGTGTCCTAGCTTCAGCTCTACTTCTTCAGATTTCAGTTCGAGGTTGAGTTTCAGCTCTGCTTTTGTGATTGAGCTCAATCACAAGAATCTTGTAAGGCTATTGGGATATTGCAATGAATTTTACTTGCAAGAGTTACTTAAAGCAACTAATAGTTTCTCCGAGGAGAACAAAATTGGAACAGGAAGCTTTGGAACCGTCTACCATGGTACACTGGACAATTGGCGCGAAGTGGCTGTCAAGAGAGCTGAAGCCTCGTCCTCTTCATCGTATGGAGGCATTGCCAAACATAACCAAGACGACAAGGACAATGCATTCTTGAATGAGCTCGAGTTTTTATCACGTCTTAATCACAAGAATCTTGTTAGGCTATTGGGATATTGTGAAGATAGTATTAGATTCACAGGGAAGGAGATTATGAATGTGAAATCTTCATTGCTCAAGTAAAAATGGTTACACGAAGACACATATATAGACTGTTGGGAATTTACTTAACATGCACAACGGAAATAAAACAATTTTCAATTCCCACACACGTTCTGCAATGTGTTTAGATAGAAACTGTGATAAGAATTATACTTTTGATAAATTCTGCAAA